TGGGTGGATATAGATAGATTATAGAGCTAGTTTGGTTTGTGTCCACAAGTTGATGCCTGGGAAAAAATGTGGCGTGTGGACACGAGGAGCTAGCAATTGCTGCCTGGCCAGGCTAGCCTCAAAGAAATGAAATGTGTTTGGATGAAGCCTGGCCTGGTGAATAGTTCAATGGTTTTAAAAAGAAATCTTAGACTGTACTCCTGAGAGCATGGTTAATAGTATAGCCAGCTGCTGGCTATAAGTCAGTGCCATGTTATCTACAGCCTATCTTACAGCCAACATATATAATAGTAGATCAAAAGAGTGTACTACTTTTTTATTATGTGGCCCACCTTTCATTCTCACAAAGTGTCTAGGAGCACGTGCTAGAGTTGTCTCTTCACCAAGAGCCCGCTTACCTTCTCTCTCCTCTTCTCTTTCCTCCAACTAAGCAGAATATACTAGTTTATTTTTTATAGCCCGCTGACTCAGCTCTATTATACTTGCTCTCACATACCATAGCTGCAGGAGTGTTGTCGTTTTGTGATTAGTAATTCCCAAGCAGCAATTAGCATCTAGGTCGGCTGCTCAGGCCCTCGAAACTGGACGCCTGTGGTCGCCTCGGTCTGCCTGGACCAGGCTAACAAAAATGCTCAAGTATCCAGGCCAGGCTGGCTTCCTCAGTCCCAGGACAACAAGCAAACAACTTCTCTGAAAATCCAGGCAGGCTCCAAGCCAGGCACGGCACCATGAGGACCTGAACCAAACTAACCCATAGTGGATGGGGATTAAGCGCCGACCCAAGCGGACGAACGGCCATTTTGTCAACATGAGCCCAGGTATGCTCAACCAAATCATTTTGTAGCTACAAGTGAGTTTTCCAATCACACATTTCATGAAGAAAATGGATGAACTATTCAAACATTGCCGCTCCTCCATACTCATGCATAACATTCTCACCCTCAAACTCAAACCCTTGATTGTAGATACGTTCCGGGCGCTCATCTTCTACGATCATATTTTGCATGATCACACAAGCAATCATCACCTCCCACGGCTTCTTGGTGCTCCAAGTCCTAACAGGATACCGAACGATACCCCATCGAGATTGCAAAATACCAAAGGCACGCTCCACGTCCTTCCTAGCACTGTCTTGCTCTTGGGTAAATCTTTTCCTCTTCTCTCCGACAGGGTTGGGGATTGTCTTCACAATAGTGGTCCACTAAGGAAAGATACTGTCACCTAGGTAGTATCCTTTGTCAAAGTTATGGCCGTTGATGGTAACATTCACCGACATGCTGTTGCCTTCGGCAAGCCTTGCAAACACCGGTGAGCGTTGAAGCACGTTGATATCATTATGTGGTCCGGCCATGCCGAAGAAAGAGTGGCAGATCCAGAGATCTTGTGAGGCCACAGCCTCAAGTATGACAGTGCAAGTCCTAACATGGCCCTTATACTGCCCTTGCCAAGCAGAAGGTCAGTTCTTCCACTCTCAGTGCATGCAGTCTATACTGCCAAGTATCCCCGGGAAGCCCCTGCTGGCATTCACCGCCAACAAGTGGGTTGTATCTTGAGGAGTCGGCTCTCTCAAGTGAAGGAAATATGCCCTAGAGGCAATAATAAAGTTGTTATTTTATATTTCCTTATTCATGATAAAGGTTTATTATTCATGCTAGAATTGTATTGATCGGAAACTTAAATACATGTGTGAATACATAAACAAAATACCATGTCCCTAGGGACATGGGTTTCCTAACCATGGACATGTGTTGTCATTTGATAATAGGATCACATCATTAGGAGAATGATGTGATGGACAAGACCCATTTGTTAGCTTAACATAATAATCGTTCAGTTTATTGCTATTGCTTTCTTCAGGTCAAATACATATTCCTTCGACTATGAGATTATGCAACTCCCGGATACTGGAGAAATACCTTGTGTGCTATCAAACGTCACAACGTAACTGGGTGATCATAAAGATGCTCTAGAGGTATCTCCAAAGTTGTTTGTTGATTTGGCATAGATTGAGATTAGGATTTGTCACTCCGAGTATCGGAGAGGTATCTCTGGGCCCTCTCGGTAATACACATCATATGAAGCCTTGCAAGCACAGTGACTAATGAATTAGTTACAGCATGATGTATTACGGAACGAGTAAAGAGACTTGCCGGTAACGAGATTGAACTAGGTATGAAGATACTGACGATCGAATCTCGGGCAAGTAACATAACGATAGACAAAGGGAATTACGTATGTTGTCATAACGGTTCGACCGATAAAGATCTTCGTAGAATATGTAGGAGCCAGTATGGGCATCCAGGTTCCGCTATTGGTTATTGACCGGAGGGGTGTCTCGGTCATGTCTACATAGTTCTCGAACCCGTAGGGTCCGCACGCTTAACGTTCTATGACGATATAGTATTATATGAGTTATATGATTTGGTGACCGAATGTTGTTTGGAGTTACGGATGAGATCACGAACATGACGAGGAGTCTCCAAATGGCCGAGAGGTAAATATTAATATATAGGATGATGGTATTTGGACACCGGAAGTGTTTCGGGGGGTTCCGGGTACTTATCGGGTCACCGGTAGAGGTTCCGGGCACCCCCGGCAAAAAATATGGGCCTTATGGGCCAAGAGGGAAAACGCACCAGCCACAAGGGGCTGGTGCGCCCCCCATATGGGTCAGCCTAAGAGGAGAAGGAAAGAGGGGAAGGGAAAGGAAAGAGTGGAATAGGATTCCCCCTTCCTTTTCTCTCCCCCTTCTTTCCTTCCCCCTCCGGCAAATTATGGTAGGGGGGAGGCCGAATTGGGGAGGAACCCCAAGTAGGATTCGGCCTACTTGGGGCCCCCCTAGATGCCTCTCTCCCCCTGATGACCCACAAGTATAGGGCATCAATTGTAGCTCTTTTCGATAAGTAAGAGTGTCGAACCCAACGAGGAGGAGAAGGAAATGACAAGTAGTTTTCAGTAAGGTAATGTCTGCAAGTGCTGAAATTGTAAGTAACTGAGTAGTTTGATAGCAAGATAATTTGTAACGGGCAAGTAACTATAGTAGTAACAAAAGTGCAGCAAGATAGCCCAATCCTTTTGAGGCAAAGGACAGGCCAAAACGGTCTCTTATGATAAGCAAAGCGTTCTTGAGGGTACACGGGATTTTCATCTAGTCACTTTCACCATATTTGTTTGATTTGTGTTCGGTACTTTGATAATTTGATGTGTGGGTGGACCGGTGCTTAGGTGTTGTTCTTACTTGAACAAACCTCCTACTTATTATTAACCCTCCTGCAAGCATCCGCAACTACGAGAAAAGTATTAAGAATAAATTCTAACCATAGCATTAAACTTTTGGATCCAATCGGTCCCTTACGAAATAGCGCATAAACTAGGGTTCAAGCTTCTGTCACTCTCGCAACCCATCATCTAATTGCTACTCCACAATGCATTCCCTTAGGACCAAATATGGTGAAGTGTCATGTAGTCGATGTTCACATGACACCACTAAGGGAATCACAACATACATACTATCAAAATATCAAACACATATCAAGTTCACATGATTACTTGCAACATGATTTCTCCTGTGACCTCAAGAACAAAAGTAACTACTCACAAATGATAATCATGCTCAGGATCAGAGGAGTATTAAATAGCATATTGGATCTGAACATATAATCTTCCACCAAATAAACCATAGAGATGTAATCAACACTACTAGTCACCCACAAGCACCAATCTATAGTTCCGGTAACAAGATTGAACACAAGAGATGAACTAGGTTTGAGATGAGATGGTGCTGTTGAAGATGTTGATGGAGATTGCCCTCCCCAAGATCGGAGAGTTGTTGGTGATGATGATCACGATGATTTCCCCCTACGGGAGGGAAGTTCCCCCGGCGGAATCGCTCCTCCGGAGGGCAAAAGTGCTCCTGCCAAAGTTCCGCCTCGAGACGGCGTCGCTCCGTCCCAAAAGTCCTCTCCTTATTTTTTCTAGGTCAAAATGACCTATATACCAGAAGATGGGCACCGAAGGTGGGTCTGGGTGAGCACAATCCACCAGGGCGCGTGTGGGCTCCCTGGCGCGCCCAGGTGGGTTGTGCCCACCTGGTGGGCCCCCTCTGAGAG